TGTGTGTGTGTGTGTGTGTGTGTGTGTGTGTGTGTTCTTAAGGAATGTCTCAAAAGCAAAAGAACATCCTGGTGTTTGCTTGAGATCTTTGTGCTGAGAGCAGGGAGAGTCCTGGGTCCCCAGCTCAGCCAAAGAAGGCCCAGCCCAGAGGGCTCACTTCCACCTCGGGTGCCCAGGCTGCCCTTCACTCCCTTGCTGGTCACGGGATCCCCTCCTGCTGCTGTGGGCTGAGACTGGCCCAGCCAGAAAAATTTGCCAGACTCCACATCTCCAAAATAACCATCCCAAAGTAGGGCTGGAAATATGGATCAAGGGTAGAGCACCAGCCTATGCAGGACTGAGGACCTGAGGTCAAATTATAGTACCACCAAAAAAGAAAAAAAAGGGTAAAAAAAGAAAGAAAGAGGGGCTAGGAAGGTGGCTGAGTGGCCGAGTGCTGGTCTAGCATGCATGAAGTCCTGGGTTCGATTCTTCAGTACCACATACACAGAAAAAGATGGAAGTGACACTGTGGCTCAAGTGGTAGAGCGCCAGTCTTGAGCAAAAGCAGCTCAGGGGCAGCGCCCAGGCTTTTCCAGCAAAGCTCAGACTCCCGACTTGGGCCTGCAGGTGTCCAAGGGTGGCTGCGGAGAGCAGCCCGGCATCCCCGCCGCCACGGGGCCTGCGACGCCTCCTGTAGTCCACACTCCTCCTGGAGTCACCTTGGTTCCAGGAAGGACAGAGAGATGACAGCATCTTTCCAAGAAGGGACAGAAACTGTCCCCAAGGGAAGGGGGCAGAGCCCCTGTTGGCCAGACCGTGGGCCAGACAATGACTTCTTGTGAGCATATTGCACCTCCACACCATATAACAGCTTCCCAGGAGTGCCTGAGTGATGACCAATCAGGCCCTGCCTTACTTACCTGTGACCGGACGGTTATGCCTACCTTTAGTCTCTGCCCAATTCTCCCCCTAGTTAAACCTAAACAAGCTGGTCTGTGCCCGGAAGATGGGCTGGATTGCAGAAATGTACATCTCCCTGCGGTGTGTCCTGGAACAAGGCTCTGTTCTCTGCCTCCACCTCTACTCGCCTCTTTATTTGGTGTACTGGGGTGAGAGGTGTAATCTGAGCCCTGAAACCCCAGGAGCCGGGACCCTGGCCCAGATTTGGGTTCCGCCATGACCGCTGGGTCACTTCATTTCTCCTAGGCACAGGAGACAGGAACCAGAAGAAAGCAAAGGAATGCAGCACCCTGCTCCCAAGTCTCGGGGACAGGCCACCGTGAGCTGGCTTCCCTCCCTTTCGCTGAGGTCCTGAGGCTGCTCCGGCCCAGGCACTGGGAGGCAGGTGGGCACCGGGGGCTCAGCTCCCCATCTCTGCCCCTAACATTATTCTGGGCGGGTGGTCTGTCCGCTGACCCTCGGTGCTAGCTTACCTTGGCAGAAGATTCGATGGAGTTGCAGTCATCAAAGGCTTGGCAGAAGATTGTGGCCAGCCTCCTATCCAGATCTTGAATCTTGGTCTCAAAATCGGCGTAATCATTGTCAAAACTCTTGAAAGTAAATGAAATGTAGTCAGCAAGTCAGGCAGGGCTGTGGTCACCCGTAACGCCCCCTGCTGGACGGGGACACTGGCAGCCCCGTGAACGCCAGGGCTGTGAGGTGGCTGGGTGGAAGACAGCTCGCCCTCCATTCAAGAGGCTGGAGGGAGATCTCCAGCACGGCCAGACAAAAGAAAGAAAAGCAACTTCTAAGAGAATGCTTGCACGGCCCCAGGCCCCTCCTTGTGCAGTTCCCCTGATAACAGGTTAAGGTGCTGGGAGCCAGGTGTTCCCCACTTCCCGCTGGTTGGCCCTCTCCTCGGCAGGGCTCATCAGCCCTCGACTGTGGCCTCACCGAGTCTCCGGGATCCAGGGGATCGTATTTGCACTCAGCAAAAACCTTCACCAGCTCAAAGACCTCGTCATAAATCTGGGTCACCATGTTTCCCAGGATGTTGCCCCGAACACCACCCAGTTCGATCTTCTCCAGCTTCAGAAACTCAATGGCAGTTTTATAAAGTTCCTAGAGGGACAGGGAAAGAAGAATAAACAAAAACAATATGCTCAGCCAGGTGCCGGTGGCTCACGCCTGTAATCTTAGCTACTGAGGAGGCTGAGATCTGAGGATCATGGTTCAAAGTCAGCCCCAGCAGGAAACTCCATGGGACTCTTTTTTTTTTTTTTTGGGTCCACTCGTGGGGCCTGAACTCTGGGCCTGGGCGCTGTCCCTCAGCTCTTCAGCTCAAGGCTAGCGCTCTACCACTTGAGCCACAGGGCCACTTCTGGCTTTTTTTTTTCTTTTTGCTTATGTGGTGCTGGGAATCGAACCCAGGGCCTCAGGCATGCAAGGCAAGCGCTCTACCACTGAGCCACCTTCCCAGACCTCCATGGGACTCTTATCTGGACTCTATCTCCAATAAACCACTCAGAAAACCAGAAGTGGTGCTGTGGTTCAAGTGGTAGAGAACTAGCCTAAAGAGCTGAGGGACAGCATGCAGGCCCAGAGTTCAAGCCCCATGACTGACCAAAACACAAAGGAGTCGGGGCTCTATTTGCATATTCTTCCAGTCAGCCTGGAAGAACAGAACAGGCTGACCATTTCCCCACCCCCAAAGTCTCCTCTTTCCAGAAACTTCATCCCGATTCAGTCTATGATTATGTAGGAGTCAATAGCTACTTGACCATGACCTTCTGAATCCCTGGGCTGGGAGCCTTTGGATGCTGATTTAAATCCGGGAGCTCTGAGTGGCCTGCCATCACCCCTACGCTCACAAGTGTGGACAAGGCCCAGCTACAACGCCAGGAAAATCAGAGGCTAAAGCGTTATTTGTCCCCACTGTAATGATCTAAGTCATGGGCACACAGGCTTTTTGTTGTTGTTGATCCTGGGGCTTGAACTCAGGGCCTGGGTGCTGTCTCTGAGATTTTCTGCTCAAGGCTGGCACTATACCACTTGAGCCACAGCTCCACTTGCAGCTTTTTGGTGGTTAAGTGGAGACGAGTGTCATGGACTTTCCTGCTCCAGCTATCTTCAAATCATGGTCCTCAGACCTCAGCCTCCTGAGTATGTAGGATTACAGGTGTGAGCCATAGGTGCCTGGCTCCTCTCATTATTTGGGGATTGGGTTTCTTTCCTGGGCGATCCTGGATAGAATCCTCCCATTTATACCTTCCACTGTAGCTGGGACAGACACACATCGCCACACCCAGGTTTTATTCTGTTGAGATGGAGCTCACTAACATTTGGGTGGAGGGGGAGAGGTTCCCTTGAACCTCCATCCTCCCCATCTCAGCCTCCTGACAAGGTAGGATTGCAGGCATGCGGCACTGCACTCGGCTCCCAAGAGGTGATTCTAGAGGAGCAGTCCAAGAAGCAAGGGGACGATGAACAACACTGGGCTTTACCTCAATGGTCTGGACGCGGTGGAAGAAGGAATTCATTCTGGAAAACGCGAGGGAAGAAGGGAACTCCCATGGCACAGGAGGTTTGTTCTTTTGGTGGTGGGGGGGGAGAGACAGAGAGAGAGGGAGGGAGAGGGAGAGAGGAAAAAAAAAAGAGGGAGAGGGAGGGGGAGAAACAGATTGTATTATGCTCGCTTTGGACATCTACCAGTCTGTCCAGGTGTTTGTTGTCTTTTTCCCTCCACCAGGGCTCTGTGGGGCTCTGTGGGGCTCTGTGGGGCTCTGTGGGGCTCTGTGGGCTCTGTGGGCTCTGTGGGGCTCTGTGGGGCTCTGGGGGTTCTGTGGGGCTCTGTGGGGGCTCTGTGGGGCTCTGTGGGGGCTCTGTGGGGCTCTGTGGGGGCTCTCTGGGGCTCTCTGGGGCTCTGTGGGGCTCTGTGGGGCTCTGTGGGGCTCTGTGGGGGCTCTGTGGGGCTCTGTGGGGGCTCTGTGGGGCTCTGTGGGGCTCTGTGGAGCTCTGTGGGGCTCTGTGGGGGGTCCGTGGGGCTCTGTGGGCCAGAAGTACCTTGAAGAAGAGCTTCATGTTGGCGCAGCAGAAGTCATAGATGCGGAAGAGCTCCTTCAGGACATTCACGGACAGGGAGATGCCGTTCAGGATCTCCTCTATCTCCCCCTGCAGGCCTTTTAGCACCTCGTCTGGGCTCAGGAAGCTGCGCGTCTGGATGAAAGAGAAGGTGAAGGAACATCCCAAGCTGTTCCCTGACACCCGAACATCCCAAGCTGTTCCCTGACACCCGGCACCATAAGTGTGAGAGGAGGCATGGCGCCTGGGGACCCGGCGTCTGGGTCCTGGGCCACAGGATCTCCCTCGAGCCCGCGGCCAGTCTGGATCCCATTTGGAGCGCCGAGCAGCCCACCCTAGGCCCCTCACCCTATTCCTGGCTGCAGCAGAAACAGATTTTGGACCCTGGAGGGGCCCTTGTGTGGATGCCCTGTGCAGAGTGCACCACGCCCTTCTGCTTCTGCCAGTGGCAAGTTTTTATTTTTCTGTCATAGGGCTTGAACTCTGGCCAAGGCTAGCACTCTACCGCTTTGAGCCACAGTGCTACTTCTGGTTTTCTGGTGTTAATCGGAGGTAAGAGTCTCATGGACTTTTCACCCAGGCTGGCTTCAACCATGACCCTGGTAGCTAGGATTACAGGCGTGAGCCACAGCACCTAGCACAAGTGTGGCTTTGATGTAGAAAGATGGCCCAGGCCGGCCCGGGCTCCATGCTGCTGGCCGCTAGGCTGAGAGGAGGGAAGGCTGTATGCAGCAGGAGGTAGCTGGCTGCGGGCTGGCCCAACCCCACAGGTGCTTGGCTAAGTCCCGGGACTCCCAGGGAACCTCCTCCTCTGTCCTCCCTTTCCTTTCCTCCTCCTTGCATAGAGGCTGGTTGGGCAGGCCTTGTTAGTACTCCAGCAAGCTGCTGGGAGGGCTGGACCTGGGCTTGGGGCCCCTGCTTTGTGTGGTGGTGGGGTGTGGAGCTGGGGGGTGGGTCGGTGGGGGAGGGGCAGGCAGTGGGGTGTGGAGCTGGGGGGGTGGGTCGATGGGGGAGGGGCAGGCGGCGTCACCATCTCGATGAGCTGGTTGCAGAACTCCTGCAGGATGACGATGACTCTCGAGGGTGTGTTGTAGTATGCCGAGGTGGCCCAGATGAAGCAGATGGTGTTCAGCACCTTGGCAATGTAGGTCGGGAGCTGGGGGGGGGGGGAGGAGGCGGGGTTTTGGTCCAAGGTCCCTGTCCTTCTGCTCCTCATGGCTGGCGCTGGACCTCCGGGACCTGGTGTGACAGCCAGGGGGCCTGCAGTCCCCGGGACCCTCGTGAACCCCCCTCCCCTCCCCCTCCCCCTGTGCGGCCCCGCAGCGCACCACGGTGAAGTCGGCCTGCTCCATCTCCTCTAGCGAGATGCGGAGGGGCTTCAGGTAGAGAACAATGTCGTTGGCTTCCTTCAGCCCTGCGCATGACAAGAGTCGGCACCAGTCAGAGAACCACGTGCACCTGGACCCCACCCCACCCCTCCACGACACCATGGGGTGAGGGCTGGGTGGGGCAGGGTGGGGCAGGCACCCCAGGGCTGGCCACGGCCCCTCCAGGGAGCTCACCTTCCGTGACGCTCATGTACACGCTCTGCAGGGCCGGCCAGTAGCAGCTTTTGGCTTTTTCCAGGATCTCAACGATCTTGTTCACTTTGGGTCTGTTTAGCTGAGGAGAGAAGGCAGCTTCCTGCTCAACTCTCGAGGCTCTCGCTAAGGACGCTCGCTGGCTTGCAGCCAGGCTGGGGGGGGCGGGCACTGAGGGGTGCGGCCCACCTGCTCGTGGATACACTGCAGGTTCATCAGGCGGGCGTCCCAGAAGTCAAACTCCACCCGGGGCAGAGGGTGCAGCCCATCCAGCAGGGCCTGGGCCGAATCCTTGCTCATGACGTCTCGGATCTGGTGCGACCAGTCAATGATGATGGTCTCGATGGCGTGCAGAAGAGAATTGTCCAGGGACGAAGGGATCCTACCAGGGACCAGGGCGGGGCCAGGCTGTCTTGGTCAACTACTCTGGGTGTCCCAAGAGGGGTTCCCCCCTGTCCCTTCCCCAGCAGCCTGGTGCCAATGCCCAAGCCGTGGGCAGCAGGGCTGTGCCAGTCCTGACGATCCTGGCTTGTTGCAGTGGGCTGGGGGAGGGGATTTCTAACCTCCTCAGGTAGTGAGAAACCAAGGGCAGGGCAGGGAAGGGGAGGATTCCAGAATAAACTTTAGGACTGTTCCCCCCACCCATTCTGACAGAGGCCATCAAGTGCCAGTGTGGCAGGCTTCCTGCTCCGTGGAGGGAACGTGGGAGGCTGGGGCTGCTCCCAGACCTGTGTGCATGGACGCACGGCAATGGTTCTGAGGGTCTGTGTACCAAGGCGGGTGCAACAGCGGCGTGATGGGTGCCGTGGGGCATCCCAGGGGCCCGCGGGCGTCTCAAGACCCCTGGAAGGCCACAGTGTCCGCCTCACTCACGCGCGCTCTGGGGCGTCGTGACTGTGCTCACTCATGATGGCGGGGTGGGCCCCCTCCTGGAGTAGGAGCTACGATCCCAGGGGGTCTCACACCTGTCCTTTCCTACCCTGTCTGTCTATCCCAGACTCAGAACCCCCAGTAACACCCTGTGCATTCAAGCATATCTTCTTTTGTCATTTGTGGGGCCTGAACTCTAGGCCTGGGCTCTGTCCCTCAGTTCGTCAGCTCAAGGCCAGTGCTTTACCACTTGAGCCACAGCGCCACTTCTGGTTTTTTGGTGGTTCATTGGAGATAAAGAGTCTCACGGACTTTCCTGCCCGGGCTGGCTTTGAACCATGATCCTCAGATCTCAACCACCTGAGTAGCTGGATGACAGTCGTGAGCCACCAGTGCCCAGCTCAAGCATTTCATTAGCTCCAGAGCACAAGGCCAGCGAGACGCTCTCGCCATCACTGGTGGTCAGAGCTCAGGGATTTCCCCAGCCCTGGGCAGCAGGAAGCGGGCAGTGCCTACCTCTCCATGGACTCCAGCGTGCCATCCAGGCTCCCCAGGTGCTCCGGGGTGGGCAGCAGGGTTTTCCCCTTGATCTTCCCCCCCATCACAAACATCTCATTCTTTAGCTTGTGGACCTGCTTGATGATGTCCTCCGAGACCACCTGGGGCCAGCCCTCCATGTTCTCTTTCTGGTTTAGCAGAGCGTAGAGGATCTGCGAGGAGACACACAGCTGCACGGCGGCGGGCCTTCTCCACGCCCAAGGCCGCGATGAACCAACCCGGGTGCCCGCCCCACGCCCTCACTCCTGGGGGGCTACAGGTGGAGGTAAGGTCTCCACAGAGGCCGTCCAGGGTTGGTGAGGCCAGTAGAGTGGCCCTAACCGAGCTGGATTTATGTCCACAAGAGAAGAGGAGGTTAAGTCAGGTGCTGATGACTGACTCTCATGGGTCTCATGTGTCTCTGGAGTCAGAGATCCAGAAGACAGTGGTTCAAAGCCAGCCTAGGCAACAAAGTCTACGAGACCTCCTCTCCAAACTAATCAGCAAAAGGCTGGAAGTAGCGGCATGGCTCAGGTGACAGAGCTCCAGCCAGGAGCACAAAGCTGGGCGAAAATATGAGCCACTGGGTTCAAGACCCAGAACCAGACAGACACACACACGCACACACACACACACCACACACACACACGCACACACTCCTACAAGCCAAGGAGAGAGGCCTCAGATGAAGGCCGCACACTTCAGCCTCCGGAGGGGGAGAGACTCTCGCGTCTGTGTGAAGCCCAGGGTGGCATCGTGCGTGGCAGTGAGCTGGCCGAGCCGGCCACGCACCCTGTTGTGACCGAGACACCCTCCCCCCTCGCCTTGCTCTGCGTCCCGTGGCCCCAGGCTTCATTTGTTTCTTTTCCTTTGGATGTGTTCGGGCAGGGACCCAGGTGCTCCTCCTACAGTGCTCAGGACCATAGCACGTTTCCAGGGCTCTAAGTGCCCCCTGCTCAACATCAGAGGAGCTGGGACACAGTGGAGGGGAAAACGCCACTCCTTCATCCTCTGCCTGGTCCCTCCCCGGCCCCAGGGGCCCCCCTAGCAAGCAAACAGGGCAGGCAGGGCTCAGCAGATCCCACCTAGCACCTGGGCCTCCCCGGAAGGCTGCGGCCTTTCCATCCAGCTTCCAGCTGAGGCTGCTGAGCCCGACCGCACAGCTGCGAGTCCCCGACCCGCACCTCCTCCACCACGGCGATCAGCTGCTCCACGGGCGCCGGGCTGAGGTCGCCGTACAGGAGGTTGGTCTTGTAGTTTTCCTTGTTGATGTTCTCCCGGGACGTCTTGAGGAAGTAGACGCCTTTGGACTTGAGCGTCTCCGGGAAGCCCAGGCTGGGTATGATGATGCCGGCGGGGTTGAGCGTCAGCAGCAGCAGCGGGATGTCCTGCTTGTCGAAGAACTCCATGAACAAGGCCAAGTTCTCCTCGGCCCCAACCAGTTTGCTCCATTTGTCTGGCTTGAACCTGAGCAGCATGGATGCGATGGTCTCCAGGTACTGGATTCTGACGTCGGTCATGAACGCCATCCCGACGTCTCCTCAGGGAATCTGTCCCCACCAAGCAAGGGGACAAGGTTTGTGGTGAACGCGTTGTGCTTGGCTGCGGATGGACTGGTGTCGGAAGAGAGGCAAGGGGCCGGGCATGCGCACTCTGGCCAGACACTTTTCCCTGCTGGTGTTAGTTGTGACCATAAATTAACAGGCTGGAACAAAGGGAAGAGATGGCAACCACTGCCAGGTGGCGTGGAAGAGTGGGAGGAGCAAACGGAGCGAACAGAGGAGCAGGTGAAAGGGTTCAGGTAACAGGAGGTTCCATCTGCCGTCCTGGCCACTTGGGAGGCAGAGGAGGAGGAGGATCAGATTGTAGTTCAAGGCTAGCCTGGACAAAACGTACTTGAGAACCTCATCTCAACCAATAAAAAAGCAAGGTAGCACATGCCTGTTTTCCAAGCTACACAGAAAGAGTAAATAGGAGGATTGTAGTTCCAGAAGCCAGTGGGTGGAAGCAGGGCTTGCTCAGGTGCAGCTGAAGTGGGGGTATCAGGGAGCCAGAAGGGGGCTTGGCCACCACGCTGGCCCAGACCCCTGACCAGCTCAAAGTGGGGAGCGTGGTCTGGGGCCTGCCAGGGCCGGCTCCCCTTGGTTCCCAGCCCCCTCCCTCCCCCTCACCATGTCTCCTGCCCACCGCACCACTCAGGGTTGGGCTTGCTCACCAGCTCCACACAAATTCCTGCTCTGGTCACGAGTGGGGTTAGCTCTCTCCCAAGAGAGGGAAGAAAATGGCTCCCAACCCTGGAGGGCTCCAACTGCCACAGAACTTCTGGAAGCTCCTTCAGGGTTCTGAGACTCCTAGAACTTTCTCCTTGGGCCCCAAGTAGCCGGTGGTATGTACCATCTGGTGGCAGGCCAAAGGTAGTGTGCTAGGCCCAGCATGCTTTGTGCCAAAGCCAGTTCTGGGCTAACACATGACCATATTGACCCACAGATGGACTGACCCATTCTGTCATGCCCGTCACCTCCCAGCGCCGCTGCACTGGGGCCACCTTACAGCTCCTGATTTGTTTTTTTCCAGAAGGCACACGAAAACCATAGCAGTCATCATAAATGTCAATGCTGGAACATTGCAGTTAGCGATGTGGCTAAGTATTTGGCATTCGTGTAAACTGTCATGAGCCCCACCCCCGCCCACCCCTTTCCTTCTCCTTCTGCGCCTCTGAGCTTCCGGGCCCGGCTGCTCTGTGCCACTCTCTCTCAGTGCTTTTGCTCTGTCATCTGGAGTCAGGCAAGGATGTGCGCTTGCACCTCTGCTCCTCATCATTGTGTTAGCGTTGCTAGCTGAGAAAATGCTCAAAGAAAGAAAAGCAAGGGGAATTGAAATTGGAAACAAAGTAGAGCTCGCCATGGTGGCTCGTGTCTGCAATCCTTGCTACTCAGGAGGCTGAGATCTGATGATCTCAGTTCAAAGCCAGCCTGGGCAGGAAAGTCCACGAGACTCTTCTCTCCAATTAATCACAAAAAAGTCAGAAGTGGTGCTGTAGCTCAAGGGGTAGAGTGTTAACCTTGAGTAAAAGGAGCTTAGGGACAGTGCCTAGGCCCAGAGTCCAAGACCCAAGACCAGCAAAAAAATAAAAATAAAGAAGCTGGGAAGGTGGCTCAGTGGTAGAGTGCTTGCCTTGCATGCATGAGGCCCTGGGTTCGATTCCTCAGCACCACATAAGCA